AAGCGGAGGCGGAAAAGAGTTTTCTTCAATTTTAGCTTTAGACCCTGACTTTTATGGCACTGGTACTTGCATTGTTTGGAAGGGCGGAGGAGGGGTGGAGGTGCGAGAAGTCCATCGTTCTCTCCCTGGATCTGATTATGCCAGCGTGTGGTTGCTGTTGGCAAGTAATACCACTCAGGTCTCTCCCGAGTACCGCTTTCACGCCACAGAGGGTGGAAAAGAAGCGGTTCCAGCTGCTGACGAAAATAAAGCAGCCTAATCCAACCCTTTCCTAAAAGAAATGACAGAAATCCATGACGAAGTCGAACAAAACAGATCGATCACGAAGCAGAGATTCCTACGAGGATCTAATGCAAACAAAACAGACCGTGCACTGATTATGCGTGGCGCAAGAATAGTGCCACGTCATCAGGTGGCTGGTGCAATTAAGCATTTCGCTCGGTGTCCGAGAAAGCAGGACTTGAAATCAGTGAAGCCGCACACGGGCGAGAAATATCCTCGTAAAATTTCAGTTTTTTAACTTGCTTGATCCCTGTGTCAGAGGGATCGATGGTAACAATTTCTAGCACGTACATGGGAAGTAGGCATAGATGAACGTTGAATCTAAGCGTCGGAAATGGGAAAAAAACTTCCCCAGATTTTTTGTTTTCCACTTTATCCGGCTTCATAGCCAGAAGATTGTTAGCCAAAATTTTCACAGGTCCGTACAAATGACATAAGATGCGCGTGGAAATTTTCTGGTGTCTCAAACTCCGACTTAAGATCAGCGCACATTGCATGATCACACCGAGTTTTAGCAGTCACGAGTCGCTGCTAAAATTCGACCCGCCAACGTCATGCACAACTTGCGTAAATCTTTTGACAGATGGAGTTGTCCCACAGCGACTGGCGGGATTTCGAATCTAGTAGGTCAGGAATGAGAAAACCCCAACCACACGCCGAAGGAGGCTGGGATAAGTAAACTTAATGGCTACATAGATTCTTTGTCGACTGAGTAGGTCACGTACATTTGGGAGCCAGGAGGTAAGAGGAGGCTCTCCACTTTCTGCCGGGGACATCAAGGTTTCGGAAAGGGCTGAAATACTACTTGTTCCTATAGTGCTCTTTATAGTGGGGATGAATAACTAAGGATACATTCCCGATCTCTAGGCAACAACTGGAGACAGTAATAAAAAGAAACAACACAGCACTACAAAGGAAACTGAAGAAAACTTAAGCCTATGAATAAAAGCAAAAGCAAAAAAAATAGAATCTATACGACCACCCGCCTTCTCACCCGAACCCCACTACTTAAGCCACCAAAACACTGAGCCCTGTGCTCTACATACTGAAGAATCTCTGCATCTTGTGGAGACACGACATTTGCAAATATACACCGTTAACTCTGCTCCTGCAAGCAGCACACACATTGATATACGTCTGTTTTTTGAGAAATTTCCGGTATATAAAGACCGCTGTGTTGACAACAATGACGTACGGATGCGAAACTTGGCCACTGACGAAAGCAGCTGCAGAAACTCGACTAATTCAAATCACAGTTCT